GCACATAACACAATCGTACAAGCAAGCAGTGGCGGTGCAATATACAATAGGGCCTTCTTCCTGTGAGGAGGTGCTTTTCTTTTTGGTACTTGTTTCTTGGTTATCTTTGGCTGTGGTATCATTCAGGTATGGATACACTGTTCCCTCTGGGCTTAACTATGTTCGTTTGACTTCTTCACCTAAACTTTTTTTCCTCACGACACTTGTATATATCTTTATGCTTGGACCCTTTTATTATTTGTAGAGGTCTTATATAGTCTACTATCATAATTAATCATAATCCTAATTAGCTACTGTTTCTTCACTTATACCTTTATTTCTTTCACCACTATATCACAAATTTATTGGTGTCTATTTCAATTTCTCAGGGTTTTTTCTGTGACCCCCGTTGGTTGCTTTGGCTCTGGGTCCTCTCCACTCTCAGCCCAAGGACAGAGATCACTCCCTGGATTCACTCCCACACCATTGATATTCTCCACATATCCATTTCTGGATTGTCATTCTGTACTTTTAATTTTTTTATTAAAGATTTTTCTTCTTTTGTTGATATGTAAGTATGTTTATTTGGTTAATGGATAATCATTGTTGAGTGGTTTGTATACCACATAAGTTAATTTTTTTCCGGTTTGTTTTTTGGGTTTTCATGTAACATGGTCTCTCCACAGATACACAAAATGTGTCTGTCTCCTGAAGAAGTGGGTGCTGTCCCACAAAATGTGCCAAAATTCTAGCCTGAATTTACTGAGTAGAGGAAAATAAAAACCAAAGAAACTAATTTGTCCAATTTACCCTCTTACCTGCCCGTTAAGGCCTCAGAGGACAGAAACTATCTACTGTATCCCAATAACCAACTGTAGGAGGTACAAGATGGAGCCCACACATGCAAACTAAACTGGAGCCTTTCCCCCGCAGTGCCCCCTAGTGGCAGAAATTCATTTTTTTTTGTTTGATAACTGCACTGAGATGTACAATGTTTTGTTTCACTTCAGCTGAGAGAACTTGCAATAATATAAGGCTTTACGTAAAGTCTCAGAAATCTTTCATTAAGGTCTTTATATTATAGTTTGAATACCATGTCATAGATGTATTATTTATCATTGCAAAAGAACATATTCCAAACTTTTCTCTTTTCCAGAAAAAAAAAAAACCCAAAAATAGTCTTTTTTTCCAGGCCTTTCCATCTCTGGTCCTGTCTGAAGGAAGGATAAAACCTGTGCGACAGAGTATTTGCAGAGATGAAGATTTTCCTTTTCAGACCAAGCAAAATGTATTAACACGTGATGTTAAAACCAACAAGAAATGGGCTTCGTGGCCTTCAGCAAGGTGGGATCACAGAATACACAAAACCCCTGTTCCTCAGGACTTGAGCTTTAAACAGCTAAGTCACTAAAGCCAGTGATCATGAAGTAGGATGGAACACGGGACCTTAAGAGACTAGGTCCGGATGGTCCAGTAGAGCCCATGAAGAGTCCGCTTCAAGTTTGACTGTGTCCAAGTACCACACTCTCCTGGGCCAATTCAGTGAAATGAGAATCACCTGAATGCCCTTCCTCTCTATATTCCTAAACAGACGAGGCTGTAGCTTGAGAGAAGGAAACATAAATCAGGTTGAACAAACTCCAGATAGTGACTAGGGCACCTACCCCACAGGACCGAGCATCTTTGGCCTTAAACCTGTCTGGACAGCAGTAGGTCTACTTCTGGGATCCCTCAAAAAAGCTGGTGAAACGCCTACAGGTGGAAGGACTACTTCTCCAAGATCCAGCTGATTTGGTTGGTGGTTTAGGAAGTCCACTTGCCAATGTTCCATACCAGAAGACTGAGTTCTGCCCATGTCAGAATGATACCCACTTCTCAAAGAACGACCTGACTTATGGTTTTGCCTTTATGATTTATATACACCACCGCCATGGCATTGTCAGATTGGACCCTGATTTGCAGTCCCCAGATCAGGAGGGTCAAAAGCTGAGGGAAAACTGAACCCCCAGATCTTCAGAATGTTTATCAGCATCTGAGCTTCCACTGATGACCACGTTCCCCTGAACCAAAAGGGAGTCTAGAACTCCTTCCCAGGTTGACATCCAACATCAGTACTTTTTACATTAGTTTGAGAAAAGATTTCTCTGACTCTAGCACCAGGCTGGATAGCCACCATTCCAAGGATAAGCATTTAAGTGTTTAGGATATGAATCAATCCAAGGACAAAGTCCTTTTGTTCTAAACTGCTAGGATGTTGAGTTTCAACAGTCTTAGTAGCATTCACTGCATACTAACACATTATGACAGGCTTACCTGTCAAAGGAAGCCCTCCAGCACTGCAATGTCAGCACTCGGATGCTTGAATCTTCACCTGATGTTCCTAGAGTTCTGTCTGTTCAACCTCTTGAAAAGCTTGGCCACGATGATGTCACTCCCGCACATGCGCACGGGAGTTACATCGCCACAGCACAGTCCGGGTGCCATGCATGCTCTGAGCAACACATGAGCAGCTCAGTAAACATGACAGCTGACAGGCAGGAGGAAGCCTTTATGGCAGAAGAGACCAATGCGGTCTCCTGTCAAAAAAAAAAAAAATCTACCTGTCGGCACATTTTAGATAAGTGGGTTGAATAACACTTTTAATGAAACTGCGTGTATAGGACTGCCCTGAAGGAGGCCACCCTCAACTCCAGCATCCTTATGCAGAAGCAAAATGGGGAAATGGAGGCGTTCCAGGAAACCCAACTTTGGGCACCTTGAACCAAAAGGTCCAAAGTTTTTGAGATTGAGAAACCAGTCCAAGTCCTACTGGGCTTGAACCTACTGCTGCATATTAGACCTTAGACAGTCTTCTCAATTACACCAGTAGGAGTAGATAGTACAGATATCCCAGAATGGGGTATACAGGTGGATGTCCTTGCAGACTTCTTTTTTGCAAGTGTCCAATCAAGCAGCTTGTGTCCTGTAATGTACAGCTAAGAAAGCAGGATTAAGGGACCTGGTAAGAGTTAAGTTTTTAGAAATGTTTCAAGACAGCACATGATTCCTCCCCCTTGTAGTTTTATGCCAATATTGGGATTGTTTGGCCTGTTTCTGGTCCTTTTTTTTCCCCGATATGGAAGCATTAGTGATAAAAACTTTTTCTATTAAATTTGTGTTTATCCTGTATGGAAGGCAAATCTGTACCTATAATGTGCCATACTGCTAGATTACTGTTAAGCAACCGCTTATTTAATCAGTGAATTCAAAAGATTGGGAAAAAAAAAAAAAGTACAGGAGAGGAACTCCACTCTTACTTTAAAAAAAAAAAATAAATCCTAAAACTTGTCCATGTATAAAAGGGAAAAAAAACATACTTACTAGTCCATCAAGTCCAGCGGTGTCTTGATTGTATGGAAAGTTCTCCTTACACTGCTCCTCTCTGGTGATGCCATCTTGAATTGAGGTCTGGCCATGTGCAGACATGCTGTTGTAATCTTTGCAAGTTCTGCAGAAGCTTGTAGATCCCTTGGAGTATCGGTGCCGGACACCCTGTGCATGCGCAGACATGCTGCAGGCTCTGCCAGTAAGATCCTGCAAGCTGCCTCCTAGGATGCATGATGCGGATATCCCAGGAGGCAGTTCACAGATCGTGCACACATGCAAAAACACCACAAGGGATCCAAGAGTGCCCCACGGCATTCCTGCATGTGCAGGTTACAGGGTATGTCATCCTCACCTAGGTGAGAATTAAGGACCTGGACTTTATGGGAAAAAGTATTTACTTACCGTATTTTTCGCTCCATAAGACGCACTTTTTTCCCCCAAAAAAGGGGGGAAAATGTCAGTGCGTCTTATGGAGCGAATATGGAGCAGCCGGTCTGGTATTTCCGCCGCCGCCACCATGGCAGAATACCAGGCTGGCCGCTCAGCTCTTCTCTCCTGCAGGACCTTACCTGTTCCTCTGTCCAGCGCTGTAGTCTTCCCGCGCTGGTTTCTGTGACAGCCAGGTGCCCACTGCGCATGCGCGAGAAGCGCTATGCTTTGTGAATGGTCCGGCGACTTCTGGGACACGTGACAGGTCCCAGAAGGCGCCGGGCCATTCACAAAGCGCAGCACTTCTCACGCATGTGCAGTGGGCACCCGGCTGTCACAAAAGCCGGCGCGGGAAGAAGCCAGCGTGCCCACACTAAAGAAAGGACAACTTCAGGTACCCGCTCCCTCTCCCTCCCCAAAGGTCCGCAGTCTCTTGGTCATCCCCTGTACTGTCTGCAGTCTCTGGTCATCTGTACTATGTCCGCAGTCCCTGACATTTTCCCTGTACTACGTCCGCAGTCTCTGGTCATCTCCTGTACTGTGTCCGCAGTCTCTGGTCATCTCCTGTACTGTGTCCGCAGTCTCTGGTCATCTCTTGTACTGTGTCCGCAGTCACTGGTCATCTCCTGTACTGTGTCCGCAGTCTGTGGTCATCTCCTGTACTGTGTCTGCAGTCCATTGGTTCAGAATATTCTTTTTCACCTCTAAAACCTAGGTGCGTCTTATGGTCAGGTGCGTCTTATGGAGAGCGAAAAACGGTAATTTTTTTTTCTTTTTTTTTGCAATTGTGCAATGGGGGGGGGGGGGGGGTTAGGAGAGGAACATTAGAAAAGGAGTGAAGGCCCCCTACAAGTTCAAATGCGAGGTGGCCCATGTCAGGGACCAACATTCTCATTAAAAAAAAGCAGCATATTTTTGTGAACCACAAGACAGGGAAATAAATTATAAATAGTTGTAATCTTTTAATTTAGCATCAGTCATGTAGTGTGGGGGCATACCTTATTACTACATTCAAATAAATTGAAACTAACTGGCCCTAGCACAGATAAATGTAAATCTAATGTAGATTTTACTATCAGACTGTAATATTGTGGATACTATTAGTACAACTCAAAACATGCAAAAAACCCTTTAATGCACTTCTTTAAATTTTTAACATACATCCCCCAAAATTATACAAACATAAAATTAGTGAAACAATAAAAAAAAAATCAATTAATTCATACCTTAACACCAACCGCAACATCAGTAACAATGCTGTAAAAAAGAAATAAAGAAACATTATATGAACACTAGGATCTGTTGATTCAGTTTTGGAAAAAAAACTCATAATTCTATAAAAGAAAGAGGGCTGAACCTAATACCATAAGACATCACTAAACATAAACCAGGATTAAAATAGACTAGGGTTGAAACAAATCAAGATAATGGATTATGAAAATAGTTGCCAACTATTTGTTTATGATCGATAAATTGGTCAGCGGATTAGGTGGCCTGCATACAGAATGCATTATTTGTCAACATATCAAAAAATACAGTGCAGCACACATACAGCTCAGTACACCGTTCATACAGGTCAGTAAGTGCCTGAAAAACTTGTGAATGTGAAATTGTGAGGAGCAATGCCTCATGGGACATGAAGGAAGTGATTTAAAGTGATTGTAAGGGCAGAAGTTGTTTTACCTTTCTATAGAGGCACTCTATACTATACTTTGTGACTTGCTATAGGGGCACTCTAAAGGCAGGAGGAGCCAGAAGTGTCAGCTGGGGACCATAGAAAATGAGAATTGGGGCTGCTCTCTGCAAAACTATTACACAGAGCAGGCAAGTATGACAAGGTATTTAAAAAAAAAAAATCTAATGTTAATCACTTTAAGGATTCTATGTTGGAAAGATCAGCATATGAACCTAGAGAAGCTGGAGGCTGATTGGAGGTAATACAAGGAATTACAATTACATTTTGAATAAAAGTTTCCCAGTATTGTGAATTATATTTAAAATTATTCTATCCATGCAAAAAAAGTCTCAGCCTTTAGTACTACATTAAAGTGTTACTGAACCCATAACAGTAAAATCAGTCTGTTTATGCAGTAATGCATGTTTGTGGAATCTAAGGGGTTAATCCTTCACATTGTATAAAAAAAAGGATGTTTAATCCCCTTTTTTCTGATCCTTCACTTCTTCCAGTATATCCTAAATATCCTCTGACAGAACAGAGGCTGGGGGGCAAGCTGCACATGCTCAGTTTGGCGTGTAGTGCTAGAGAGTTATTTTTTTCTTGGGAGAGTGCATGTGATCTGCATAGGGACAATCAGCACTCTCCACAGAGGTCAGGGGTCCTGCATCCTCCTACAGAATGAAAACCCCTCCTACAAGCTGTAACCAGTGCTTTGCTGGACACTGATAGAAGTCACAAGACTGCTCTAACTGCTTGTGAGAAAAGGTATTAGTGATTTATATTTACTAAAATAATTGCATTGCCATGTTCTGTGTACTGTGGGTGTCCAGATACAGTGAATGCAAAGTATTGTGTTTAATAACACTTTCACCACTTGCCTTTACAAAATATTTACCCCCCCCCCCCCCCCCCCCCCCCCCTTCATGACCAAACTATATTTTGTTATACAGCACTGAGCTACTTTAACTGACATGCAGCTTACTTTAAGTGGTCATGCAGCACTGTACACAAATGAAATTTTTTTTTAAAACATTTTCTCCACACAAGTAGAGCATTCTGTTGCTTTTGTTTTTTGATCACTGCTGGGTTTTTTTTTGTTTTTTTTTTGCGCTATAAAGGAAAAAGACCAAAATGTTTTTTTAAATTTATAAAACATCCAATAAAAGAGATTTTTAAAAAAATAATAGTCCTTCCACATTTTCTTTTTCTTTAAATATGTTATATTGTAAAGCGCTGAGCAAACTGTTGGTGCTATATAAATCCTGTATAATAATAATAAAATAAATAAAAATGGTGATCTCCGAGTCCGATATATTCTAGATCTGACCTCTGACAGTATATACTGTATATATCTCTTCTGTCTGTGATTAGATATTTTGTTCCCTAACCAAAAAGCTGGTTATGTTTATTTACCACTGCATTTAGACATTCAAAAAAAAAAAAAGTCTTTTTTTAAATTTACATATGAACTAAATTATACGCCACACTTTTTTTTTAGGTTTTTATCCAATTAATGGAAAGCATTATTGGCCAACTTATCGGTTATGAAAATAATCATTAGCTGTAGCCCCTAAAATAGACAATGCACAGTACTGATGAAATAAAAAAGTAAGATGCAGGAAACCTGTACCACAGCCAAGCTAGCAAAATAGAAACCAGCAGGAAAAAAAGGCATTCAAACTCTGATTAATATAAGCTGGAATGATAAATCCAAATTAGGCATCAAAATGAGCAAATGAAAATCACATTCCAGCAAGTTTGACAATACACATCTCTGTTTAGGACAAAGTACTACACATGAACTAGCCAACTAATGCAAACCCCTATGTGCCCGCAGTCATCGCAGATTGAATTTGCAGATGTATCCAAAGATCTTTTCTAAAGATTTTAAAGAGTAAACTTATCTTCCAACAGAAAGTATAGGCAGTGAAATTGGAACCAAAAAAGGACTCCATGGGTTCAATAAAATGCCTAAACTAATGAAATTACCAAAAAGCTGACAACATAAGCTGTCAAGAGGTACCTTTACTTTTAAACTTTTTATCCCCATAATGTCTACAGCCCTTCCTACGTAGCTGTGCAAACAGTATAGTATGAAGTTGCCTTTACCAATGTATGTTTTTGGATGCATGCTCATGTACTACCATCCCAAACCTGGGCTAACAACATGGAAAAGCATGAAGAAAGCATTTTCAGATTTTGAAGTTTTTAGTGGCTGCAAGCAAACCACTTGCCCCCCAGATGATTGACCTCCCCTTCATGACCAGGCCATTTTTTGATAGGCAGCACTGCGCTATTTTATCTGAGAATTGTGCGCACATGAAACACGGAGGACGTCGACAAAACGTGTAGGGTGGAGCCTTGGAGTGACGTCACTACGCCCAGTGAGCTGTCGGCGTCAGCTGACACTGAAGCGGGCTTTTTTGAATTTGTGCTGTATATGTTGTTCAAGCTAGTGTGGGCTTTGACACTACGGAATGTGAGTGTAATTTATGGACTGTTTTTTTATGAATAAAATTACCTACGATTTTACACTATCAGTCCCCTCTCCTCTTCCTTTAGGAGTGTGTGATGTCAACAAGATATTAATGTGCATTGAATCGCCTCCCAGTTGCCGACCATCAATCTGCTGATTGTTGCTCCCACAGCGAAAGCATGTGTGCTGGTTTATAATCTGACCAGCATGTTGCTCTGGTGAGTTTATTGAATTCATCTGCTGCTGGATTTTTTACGGTTTTGTGTTTATTTCAAGAACAGTTTGGAGCACTGAAGTTTAAAATAACACCTTTTTTTCTTTATTAATTTGCACATTGGAATTTGATTGACGCAAAAAGTTAGTTTCAAGTATATTTTTTTTATACCCAAGGACACTACTATTGGACATTGTTTTGATGTTTGATATTGATTTTTTTAGAGAATATATTTTTCTTATGATACTGGATATTTATTTGTTTGATAAAATGAGTTTATGATATTTTATTTGCAATTAAGATATTTTTGGATTTTGATAACTTTTTTCTTCTTTTAATTAATATAGATTTTCTTTTTATGTTCTGATGATGGTTTTTCGTGATTATTATTTGGCTAGAGCGCTACCTTTTTTCTATCTTTGTCACTGAATTATACATGCCTGTTTTATTACCACTTTTGTGAGTATATCTCCTGAATCAACTAATTGTTTACTGAGGTAATGCACAAGGTCTGTGCTCTGTTTTTTGTTCTTCACTACAGTTTGTATCAAGCTTCCCCAGCTTTGTTTTAGAGCTGTACAGCCTTTGATCAGTCCTGGACGAACTTCCATACTCTCTAATAGTATTGGTCCATCGGCCCTTTACTGATCTGGGTCCCTGTGCGCAGAAGATTTTGCATCTGAATCTGAAGGACATGTCTGAAATTGGCGGTTGCCAGGAGAACGGTACTTGCCCGATTGCTTCCAGGGGTAAAGTTTGGTGGAGGGGGGATTATGGTGTGGGGTTGTTTTTCAGGGGTTGGGCTTGGCCCCTTAGTTCAAGTGAAGGGAACTCTGAAGGCATCAGCATACCAAGACAATTTGGACAATTTCATGTTCCCAACTTTGTGGGAACAGGTTGGGCCTCCTCCTGTTCCAACATGATTGCACACCGGTGCACAATGCAAGGTCCATAAAGACAGAGTGTTTGGGGTGGAGGAACTTGGCTGGCCTGCACAGAGTCCTGACTTCAACCCGATAGAACACCTTTGGGATGAATTAGAGTGGAGAATGCGAGCCAGGCCTTCTTGTCTGACATCAGTGCCTAACCTCACAAAATGTGCTTGTGGAAGAATGGTCAAACATTTCCATAAACACTCCTAAACCTTGTGGACAGCCTTCCCAGAAGAGTTGAAGCTGATATAGCTGCAAAGGGTGGGCCAACTCAATACTGATCCCTACGGACTAAGACTGGGATGCTATTAAAGTTCATGTGCGTGTAAAGGCAGACGTCCCAATACTTTTGGCAATATAGTGTATCTGAACCTTTTCTGCAGACAGAATGCAGGCATGGGTTAGTCTTTTAAACTTTATGGGTTAGACCAGGGGTGGGCAAACTTTTTGACTTGAGGGCCGCAATGGGTTCATATATTGGACCCGGGGGCCGGACCAAGAGTAGATGAATGATGTGTATGTGTCATCCATAGTAAGTATAGTAATATTCCCCCATAGTAAGCATAGTAATTAATCCCCCATATAGTAATTCATCCCCCCTATAGTAATTCGTCCCCCATAGTAATTCGTCCCCCATAGTAATTCGTCCTCCATATAGTAATTCATCCCCCATATAGTAATTCATCCCCCCTATAGTAATTCATCCCCCATATTAAGTCCCCCCTGTGTCAATTCACTTACCTTTGCTCCGTGCGTTCCTCTCGCCGTGGTCCCGCTTCGTTCCGGTGTAGCATGAAAATCTGTCTCCTATGAGGATCTGTCCCCCTCGACGTATCTGCGCATGTGCCAGTTTCAGGCATTAGCAGCCGATCGGCGATCTCCGGCACATGCGCAGATACGTCGAGGGGGACAGATCCTCACAGGAGACAGATTTTCATGCTGCACCGGTCTTCAGGGCGGA